AGCCTTTATGTCCTCTGAAAAAGTCCAAGTATATCATTGCATTGCATAACAAATGCAGTCTCTTTTTTAATTCCTACATAGTCCCAGCATTAATATTTAGCTTGCGCATGTGTGCAAGGTCCTTTTTTTCATGCCTAGCAAAACAAAGCACTTACATTAAGAAAATTGTGTATTTTAAGAATCAGAGCATGTGTGCCGCTTTTTACAGGTGCACTATGAATAATCATTTTTTTTTCAGACAGACCCCCAGGGTAACCACTTTTTTTTTCTGCATTTCCTGACACTGGAAACAGATTTTCACGGTGATTCCTTTTATAGTTTCGTCTGCTAACGACTCCAAAGAACCCCTCTGATGTGGTCTCTGTGCAGTAATTCAAGCACCGTGGTCAAGAGGTAGGCAGGGAGGTCCTGCTCTGCAAATCAAAATGGATCCATTCAACAGGTTCCAACACCTGAAGGGAAAATATTATAAAGGCTTGATCCTGTGACGACTCAGTCACACGAGTAAGAGACATTATAGGAGCTGCTCCGGTGGGTAGCGTTTACTCCAATGTTAGGAGTTCTTATGTGAGAGAGGTTACTTGCAGGTACAAAATGTTGCCAACTTGGGCCCTAAACTAGCACCTGTTGAACCTCTCTAGTCTGGCACCTTCAGGACCTGAATGGTGCAGAAACAGAGAATTTGCCAGACCACGGGAGGGAGCAGCATGACCAACTTTTCTCCCGCTTACTGGGCTCTTAGAGGACATTGAGGGGTCAATTACAGCTAAATACCAGCACAGGACACTGGTGGCTATAAACAAACTTGATGGGACTGCAGGAAACTTGGCCACACCCACGAAAAGTGGATATCCAGCTGTGGTGGTGCGTTGGGGTTCTCCCGAATCCTGCACCTCCGTAGTGGCACGAACAGACTCCACCAGCCAGTAGAACAGAGGGAGTTTATTGCTTCTCCAGGATACAGCACAGCACAGATGTCATCTGGTTCCAGGGCAGGCCTAGGATGCCTCAGCCCCCCTTGAGATGGGGGAGACTGGGCCCCTAAATCCCAGCCCCTTGTTTAGGCTGCTTCCTCCATGATACCAGACAGAAAACTAAAACTCTCCTCCAGCCCTACCCCCCAACCAGGGGATGGTCTCTGCCTTCCTCTCTTTGTCTGGCTCCCTGTGTTCACTTCTGAGGATAGCTCAGTGGTTTGAGCATTGGCCTGCTAAACCCAGGGTTGTGAGTTCAATCCTTGCGGAGGTGATTTGGGGCAAAAATTCATCAGGGATGGTACTTGGTTCTGCTGAGAGGGCAGGGGACTGGACTAGGGGTTGGTCCCCCCCCTCCTCTCTTTGTCTGACTCCCTGGGAGGCAACTGGTCAGACAGATTGTGAGACCCTTGCCTAGGGACTCATCCACTGTCCTGTTGGGCCGTGCTACAAATAGCCGCCAGTGGAGGTCACCCACAGCCCACTGCCCAGCATAGCCACCAGCACTACATCACACCGGCTAACTAAAATCATGCTGGACCACAGATGTTGCCGATCGAGAGAGTGCTGGACGAGAGAGGTTCAACCTGTGTTTTTAACTTTAGATAGACTTTTAGGACTGGATCCTGGAAGTGCTCCCAGGCGTAACTTTTCAGCAGGCCCTTATCTTAATTGACTTCAGTGGGACTTCCCGCATGTTCAAAGTGAATCATAGAATGCTAGAACTGGAAGGGACCTCGAGAGGTCCTCAAGTCCAGTTCCCTGCACTCATGGCAGGACCCAGTACCATCTAGACCAGCCATGGCCAACCAGCGGCTTGCAAGCCGCACGTGGCTTTTCCCTCACCCCATCAGTGGGGCTTGCGAAGCCGCCCCGGCGCCCTTGTGCTCATCGGGGCAGGAGAGCCGTCTGGTGCTTCCAATATGGTGGTGACTGGCGGGAACCTGCTGAGGCCAGAAAGCATAGAAACGTGCTTCTCGCGCTTCTTAAAGGGGCAGGCCTTCTTTTTCCTCTACAACTTTGCCCCGGCTCTTCACGCTGGATCCACTAATATCTTGGCTCTTCCTCTGGAATGGGTTGACCACCCCCGATCTACCTCAAACCCAAATATTCTTGCCCTTTTTCTTTCCCACCTCTTCTCCCCAACTTATTCCAGTGTTTAACCACCCTGACAGGTAGGAAACTTTTCCTAATGTTCAACCTAAACCTCCCTTGCTGCAGTTTAAGCCCATTGCTTCTTGTCCTATCCTCAGAGGCTAAGGAGAACAATTTTTCTCCCTGTTCCTTGTGACACCCTTTTAGATACCTGAAAACCGCTATCATGTCCCCTCTGTCTTCTCTTTTCCAAACTAAACAAGCCCAATTCTTTCAGTCTTCGTTCATAGGTCATGTTCTCTAGACCTTTAATCATTCTTGTTGCTCTTCTCTGGACTTTCTCCTATTTCTCTACATCTTTCCTGAAGTCTGGTGCCTAGAACTGGACACAATCCTCCAGCTGAGGCCTAATCAGTGCAGAGTAGAGCGCAAGAATGACTTCTCGTGTCTTGCTCACACGCTTCTGTTAATGTATCCCAGAATCATGTTGGCTTTTTTTTTTTGCAACAGTGTCACACGATTGACTCATATTTAGCTTGTGGTCCACTGTGACCCCTAGTGAAGCCCCTGCATAAGTATTTGCAGGATTGGGGCCAATTTGTGAGGACAAAACATTTGAAGCTTTTGAAGTTCTCAGAAATTTAAATTCAGCTGCAGTTGCTATTTTATTTTATTTTATTTTATTTTATTTTATTTTATTTTATTTTATTTTATTTTCAGCTTAGATGTGCTTGGCCCTTTCCCAACAACAGGGAACACAAAAGTCAATGAGCTGGTGTAGAAGTCAATGGGGCTATCAGAAGTGACACGTAGTATTTTCCCCTTGTCCCTAAGGGTTCACAATGGTTACTGTCTCCTTTGTGCACCCATCAACTACGTGCCAGTTTAATGCCAACAGCCAAAATTTGATTCTGCTCCTTGTGAGGGAAAAGGAAAAATAACTTTTGAAATCCATGTGGGATTTTACATGTGGGCCATGCTTTCCTCCACTTGTGGGAATGCATAAGTGTTTACCTTCTGTAGTTTGGGGCAGCCTTTCCCCCCAAATCGCTGTCTGTAAGAGCTCTCTGTAGTTGAATAATATTTATTTGTTTTAAAAAAATCCAGGGCAGAAGGACATTTCTGATGGACAGTGTCAGAGATCTTGAAATGCCAGCTGCTCTTTTGTAGTCTCCCGTTTAAAGACAAAAGTGTCCTTGCCTGGAGAAGGACAGTTTAACCATTTGCCTAATGTTGCAGGTTTAAGTGTTCGTAGGGGGGTGAGGAAGAGGTGGAATGGCAACGTTTGTAGCTTTATTTCCTTTCTATCCCATGCAAGGGACGGGATGGCCGTGCGCAATCCTTCGCCACCCAGTCTGAGCAGGCCCGGCTTCCTGGGATAGTTGAAGCAATGTTTGCCAATCCTTGTCAAGCATTTCAACCTCTTCAGAGGCTAAAGCCTCTCAAAACCAAGAACAATTAAAGCAAGAGCCTTTCAGAGCCACGGGGGGATTCTGCCAAATAAATCCGAAAACCGCTGCCCCGGCTCTGGAGGCTTGCCTCATTAGAAGAGCAGATCTATTAGCTCCCTTGCCATTGTCTTTCATTTCTCAAGTGAGGTGATTCTAATTAAATTAATCTGCATGTCAATCTATCGGTGATCAATCAAGAGGGCTGAGGTTCCCCTGTGCGGCGGTGTGCTTGCGGCTGACAGGGGCTGATAATGGAGGAAGAAATAAACTGTCGAGCAAAGTTAATTAGTCAACATAATAGGTGGATTAAACGGGAGCCGCTGATTGCTGTTTCACATGTCGAAGTCTGAGGTGGGGGCTGAAACTGCAATTAACAGACAATTATTATATTTGGTTGTAAGAGGGCGCATGAATAAACATATCTCGGCGGGTTTCAGTTTTTAATCCCTTTCCCTGTTTAATATAAGGAGAAGTGTAGGTCATTTCTTCTTATTGTTTCAGTCAAAGTTCTCTATGGCAACGCGCGCGCTTGGAAAACAGACAGGCTACCCTGTGCCCGGTCGTCGGCTGGGATCAGGCCCTGAAATGCTGTACTTCGTTAGCACAGGACACGGGGGTCAGAGCGGGGAACAGGAAGAAAAGTTGCATGTAGTTCTGGGGCTGGGGTGGGAAATCGAGTGACCTGCAGCAGTGCTGCCAACCCTCTGTGTGACCGTGGGAAAATCACATTCCTCCTTTGTGCCTCAGTTTCCCTTCCCCACACTTTGTGTCTTATCAGTCCAGGTTGGAAACTCCTGTGGGCCAGCTCCATCTCAGATGGTGTCTGTAGTGTGCCTAGGACAATGGGAGCTTGATCTTGGGTTGGGACCCCTAGAGAGGCACGTAACACAGCTTGTAGGAAGGTTAATTAGGTCTGACAGACTGTCCCCAGGCACATGCCAAAAATGCAGCCCAGAGCAGGAGAATTTGGGGGCGACTGTGGCTAAAAAAAGAGGACACCAGGGTGGGGCGAGAACCAGACCTCTGCTCTTGTCTCAACTTGACAAAAAAAAGTGTTCTGTTTGCGTTTCCTTTGAATCGATTCTCATTTGTAACGGCAGCTCCTGCTATCTGCTTCAGCACAGCAACTGAAGGATAATTTAGGGGGAAACACAGCTGCCCTTGTGTTTGCGGAGGGGGAGAAACCCTTAATAAAGATCTTCTTGTTAAAACGATGGTTAGCAGCTTACCTTCTGCTTCACAGCTACCAACTATGCAATTTGACTTCGAGCTGCATCAGAAGGTTTCTATGCCAAAGACTCCCTCGTCAATAGTGTCTCTTGTTAGATTTGTACAGCATAAGCACCAGTTATTATGCGAAATAGCGACACAATTTTCTGCAGCTCCCAACTGTTATTTATTTAACCTAGTTTATTACAATCTGTGCTCTTTTTTTTTAAATGTATCAGAATGTTGACCTGTTTTGCTTCTGTGCTCCAAGGTTGTGGTGTCGACAACAGTCAACGTTGATGGCCACGTGCTGGCGGTGTCGGACAACATGTTTGTACACAACAACTCCAAGCACGGGCGAAGGGCTCGAAGGCTTGATCCCTCGGAAGGTACGCCTTCTTATCTGGAACATGGTAGGCATATCATTTTCTTTGGTTGGCATATGTTAAATGTGGGTTTATTTGGTTTCTCGCTTCTTTGTCATTTCAAATTGTCCTGCCTCCAAAAATGGGGCTTGGCTTTTCAAAGCAGCGGAACACTATAGCTTTTGGTGGTGGCAGGGGACGTGAGAAAATTCTCATGAAGAACCCGCCCCTTGCTTTCCCGAAAAAGGTCTACGTTTTTTGGGATCACCTCCACTCAGCCTCCAAAATTGGGGTCAGGTTTTCAAAATGGGGTTGCTCCCCTGGACTGTGTGGGTAGATTTTCGATAGCATTTCGTGCCTACAATTGGCATCAGGTGTCTGGTGTCAGCTAGGTGCTGACGCTGTAGAAAATCTGGCTAGTGCACTGATGTTCGTTAACTGAGAGCTGAGCTGCTTTGAAAATCTGAACCGAATTAATGTTTTGGTTTTTTGTTTTGTCCTTTAAATTGGTAACTACTTCTAAAAAACCCAAACAAACACCCCTCCCACCATCATAAGGGAATTACCCCCAGCCACTTGGGAGAATAGTCCCTCCTTTTGGAAGTGGGTGACAATTCGGAACACGAGGTGTTTGCTCCCATTGACAGAAATGGGTGTGATACGCACCCCATCCTTAACTCGTTTGTGCCATTCATGTTTGCCAGGGATTACATGGGGTAATTGGTTATATTCTGCCAAAGAGATAGAAACCAGATAAAATGTGTCTCAAGGAAAGTGAATGCCACTTGGAACTATGTAAACAATATATGATAATTCAAATGATGATGATAATACAGTGAAAGCTTTGTTATCTGGCAGTCCTGGGGGTTGCCGGTTAATTGAATGTGCCGGTTAACAAAGTTTATTGCTCTGCCTCTAACCGCTCCTGGCAGATCCGGCTCCCTGCAGCTTGAGGGAGGCTAAGCAGGAAGGATGATGTCATCTGGCAGTGCCGGCTGTCAGAAGCCCCGCAACAGCCCACAAGACAGGTGGGAGCCAGGCATGTGCACCTGAAGACGCGGCGGTATTGCGGTCGGGGGCAATGCCGGTTCACAAAGTTTCCCGGTGAACAGAGTGCCGGATACCGGAGCTTTCACTGTGATAATAGTAATAAGTGAAAATGCCATTTTCCACCCCTGGATGAATTGCTGATGGCAGAGATGTCTATTCTACTCATTCTTTTGGGTTCCGATCCTGCGACCACCTGCTTAACCCTATGCACGTGTCGCTCTGTTGAAGTCCACAAGGCTGTTTTTGTGAGGACAGTTAAAAGTATGGCTAAGTGGTTGCAGGATGGGTGTTGTAGTTCTCACTTCCTACCTGAAAATTCTTAGCTCAGCAGTGTTTCTCATTATCTACACATAACTTACATCTGTATTTATTTAGCTCTAACTTTTTATATAGGTCATGAGCCATTTTCAGCCCCACTTCATCCTATAGAATTTTTTTTCCTCCCTGCCAATATCCTAATCTAATAAACAAACCATTGTCACAATGTTTGCTCCATTTTTGTATGGAATGTACAAATGGTGCTTTTATTAATTAGCAAGAGGCAGAGCTTTATGAAGGACACTTCGGTCGCGTCGACCTTGCAGTCATTTGAACATAAACTTTTGTCTTTCAAAACCTGCTTTGGGGGGTTTATTAGAACTAAGTTAGCTACCCCCCCCCTTTTCCCCCAGTGAGGACCTTTGAATGCCTACCTGTGATTAAATGTATCCTTGTTTTCTCATGCTTTAGTCATTCTTGTCTTCAAACCTACTGGAGTGCTAGCTCCTTTTCATGTACCTACCACTCTCACTGGGTAAAGAACTCTGTGGACAGAAAGGAGAAAATGATAAAATTATACAGATATTTCCAGATAAGCCTCAGGCCTAGTGTTTGCCATTAAATGTCAGCTTTTGCCAACAAATTCTACACACATTCACCACAATTATTTCTTCGTCTAAAATCCTGCAGGAAAAGTGATGATCTAATCCAATTTGTTTCTCAAATAGCTCTCAGATCATTTTATTTTGCCACTGTGGGCAAATTCTCATTTATGGTGACTGCTGCACTAAAAAATGACCCATTCAACCTTTGTGAGACACCACCGAAAACTTAAAGGCCTTGCCTGGAATAGTCTATAGCGCTCTCCACTGGAATTGGCATCCTTCATAGTCCCCTCCCCCAAAATACATCCCTCTCTTCCTCCTAGTTGTCCTAGTCCTGAAGCCTTAAGTCCTAAGCCCTGGTCTGTCTTCCTTAATTGTGATTATGCACCATACTCTTGTGTCGGCCATCTTCGGTGGCCGGGGTGGATGGGGAGGAGAGAAGATGACCCAAGTCAAATCAGGTTGCCAGTTGGTAGCTGCGTTGCCCATTGCTCTGACTATGGGGGTTATATCACCAGAAGCATGAGAATACTCCTCTGACCATCTGGAATGTACCAACAGTGCTTTTATTAATTAGCTGTACCCAGGCCCGGATAGAGGTTTGGAGCCCAACACACACACGTCTGTCCAGAAAGCGATGAATACCCGAGGTGGTTTGTGGGGACGAGGGAGAAGAAAGTGACGAGGTGGGGCGCTTGCGGCCTGGCTTTGTTAGACAGTATTAACCTTCTGATTTTCGTTACCAGCCTACGACGGCAAATGCTGCTTTGAAACACTGAGCTCCGGTGTGCAGGGCACCTAAGAAAAGGGTCACATTGGGGGCCGAAAAGCAAAACTGGACTGAAAGTTTTTCCTCCTGAGCTACTCAGGAGCCGTGTGTCTCTGGACTGTGGGGTTTTACTATCTCGTTTGCAGGGAACCTAGATTATTTTTGGGATCTGCAGCACAGGTCTCTATTTATATCCTGCTGGTCAGGGAGGAAAAGGACAGCTCCCTTTTTAGGGGCTCATCTCTCCGTGCAGACGTAGAAACCGAGATCAGGAGTTTGCATCCAAACTCCCTACACCATGATCCTGGAGGGCTAATAAGCTCATCTTTCAAATAAATTGACCTCTTTTTCGAAAGACAGAGGCTAATGATTTTGTTCTGCTCTCTGTGGCAGAAGTAGGGTGGGCCACAGTGACCCGTGGTTTGCAATAATTATCGCAATTTCACTCACAGATAGTTGGATTTTCTCATGTTTAATATTTAGGGTAAGCCACGGGGCCATTCTAAAGCATACAAATCCAGGAGGATGAATAGAGAAGAGTTAGTATAGATCAGAATCGGTACAATATACAGATTGAATCTGTCTAGTCCAGCAAACTTGGGACCTGAGTGGCGCAGAACCAGAGAATTTGCCGGATCACGGGAGGTCAATATTGTAGAGGGTCTCTTTATTTTTATCTCACTGAGGTGAATAAATGCAACAACACTTACAGTACTGCTGAATAATGTCTGACCGGACTCATATACCCTATATAAGCCTATACCTACCCAAGACTTATCCGCTCTCTTCATAACAAAGTGCTTGTGCCAAACTTAGTGTATTGGCACAAGGAAATAAGTAGATGAAACATAAAAAACATGCTCACGCTTAGCATCATTACCAGCACTTCCACTGCTTACCGGCTCTTAGAAGACATTTAGGGGTAATTTAGAGCTAAATAACAGCACAGGACTGGTGGCTGTAAACAAACTTTATGGCACCGTGGGAAACCTGGCCTCACCCGCAATAAGTGGACATCTGGCTAACTAACATCATACCGGACCACAGAGGTTGCCGGACCAGAAAGTGCCGGATTAGAGAGGTTCAACCAGTACTTCAACCTAGGTTGTAATTTTAAAAGGAAAACCTTTCCAAAACAATTCAAAAGATTATCCCGGGACAGGTGTGGGAGAAGGAGGGTATGCAAGAGAGGTCGCATTCAAGCAGGCCTGGAAGAACTCTTTCAGGTTTCTTAAGCATGAAGCCCCCACGGGAGACCTCTGCAGAATTTCTTGCACAAACTCCTATCCCTTCCTTCATCATAATTTTTCATATTTCTGGGAATAGCCACTTGAATGAAAAGCCAATTGCAGCATCAGTTTCTCTATTATTTTTCCTCTCTGGCAGCATGCAGTGCCCTCGAAAACTGATATCGCCGGAGACCCTGTCAGCTCGCATGCTCTAACACTTTATTATCTAATGATCTAATATGCAACAAGACAAAGAGGGGTGCTCGTCACTCTGACAGGATGCCTAAGAGAAGTGACTAAATTACTGTATGTACCATTAGCGCTAGCAGCTACAGTGAACTCACTGTGAGCGCTTATGCAAATACTCCTGAATACATTCAAGTGGCCTTGTCAGGCAGACGGCTGACAAGCAGTTTAAATGCTTTTTTTTTTTTTAAAGGGCCAAATTTTATTTCTTCTCCTTCCTCATCCCACTCTCCTCTTCTTCTCTGGAGTGAGATCACTGAGGAATGGGGCGCGCTAGGGACTGACTTGTCTCCCCCACGGCAGCCGCGAAAGAAGAAATGTGCCAATGATGCGCTTCGAGTCCCGTCGCTCGTCTGGTTTGGGAACTGCCGATGTGAGCAGAGAGCGCCGTGATTGCTAATGCAGTGCTCCGCCGCTGCTCTTGTGTATCACACAGGCCTTCTCCTAGACTGCTTAGAAGCCAGAGACATCCTGCAATAGATAGGGACCGGTCGGATGCTGTGCCGCAGGAAAGTCCTGGGAACTTTAGTGGGACTTTGTGTTGGTGATATTAGTTGCAGGGTTGGAACGTTAGTATGGAACCTCCTCTCTCAAGAGGCGGAGACAACTTCTTCTCTGCTTTTCTTGAGATACCGCCTTTGTTAAGCCAACAAAACAAAAAAGCTTCAGGAGGTAACTGAGTTCGTCTGTACAGGATAAACTTAAAAAACGACCAATGGTCTGGTAGCACTTTATAGACTAACAAAACCTGTAGATGGTAACATGAGCTTTCGTGGGCACAGCCCACTTCTTCTTTTTCTTCATAACTCCAGTCATCTGAAGAAGTGGGCTGTGCCCACGAAAGCTCATGATACCATCGACAGGTTT